TATATATATATAATTTTTTTCTTTAATTTAAAGCTTACATTTTTGGTCATCATAGGCGCGTGTCGAGACATAATGACCTCTATAAAGTCTAAAAATGTTGCTTATAACTATGCTGTCTAGGTAGGTGACTCACTAGGTTTTTACTGATAAACCACATACCTGCGTGTTATATAAGGGAAGGTAATTATATAAGCAACTTTACTGAAAATTGGCTTATTTACGAGGTTTAAATAAATATTACGGTTAAACTAAAACATATAGGAGCAAATTTATTGCACGTGAGTCGTTTATTTCGTTAAATGTCACCAAGGTCTCTGGCCTCGAACAAACTCCGTCGAGCACTCTAATGTTCGCAACGATAAATTATCGGCAAATATATGTGAAGAAAGTATGCTTACCTTGTTCAAATCGCAATATGAGTGCTTCTATTAGTTCGTTTTTCTGAGAAAATTGTCCAATGTTTGCTATAGGACTGCTTCACACGGTCGCCATTACTTGAGAGGAAGTGGTTGGTGTTAAAAGTACAAGCGGGGATTGTAAGGGTTTGAAGCGCTGCAGCGCCATCTAGCGGTAGAGCCAATCACGTGTTTAGACCGGAGATTCGCGCGCCCCCTAATGGTGAATGATGCAACTGCACTTCTATAATCTCTTATAGAGTACAAAAAGCAATTTTTGGATCTATTCCCTATCATAATATAAAGTTTAGAGCAAAAATATAAACACATGGCATCGATGTGTCAAAAAAAAAAAAACATTGTTATACCAACTTACTGTTTTTGTTGTTAGTGCACCAGAATTTTAAGGGAATAATTTAGAAATACAATTTCAGCTGACACAAAACATTGAGATCCTGTATGTTAGATTGACCTCTGCACTCTTTTACTCTTTACAGCATCAATGATGTACCAGTATTTTGTGAAAATTGTGCCAACGATATACGTTAAAGGAGATGGAGAGGTAAGAGAGCTAAGCTACGAGAAAATAAGGGGGTTAAAAACAGAACACACAAAATTGGTAAATCTGTGGTTACTTGGTAAATATGACAATATATAAATAAATAAGGTCTTACAGCAGTATAGCTGCAAATTATGGTTGTCATGGTAATCTTTTATAAGAATATGTTGTTTAAGAAGATGGGAATATTTTTAAAAACTCTTTAGGATGCTTCAATTATTGTCTTTGATTTGTTTAGACATGTTGATAAAGCAGGGGATAATAGAAACCATGCTTTTGTCTTTTACGTTAGGTTGTTAAAACAAACCAGTTTTCAGTAACGAGACATGAGAAAGTAGCCAACGGGTTGATTGGAGATCAGGGTTTACCTGGGGTGTTTGTGCTTTATGAACTATCTCCGATGATGGTCAAATTCACAGAGAAGCAAAGGTATGTTTCAGTAAATGAACTGTTTTTTTGTTGTTGTAAACTTCTCATTTAATTACATAACATACATTTAGTTCACTTTGATTTAAAGAAACTGGTTAAAGTCATGTGTGTTGCATGCTGGAATGATTTTGGTATATTTTTTCATGTGTTTTCGTCTGCAGGTCTTTCACCCATTTCCTAACAGGAGTCTGTGCTATTATAGGAGGTGTTTTTACAGGTGAGATTCCATTTGGTGTTTTGTACATGAGCGGTTTTCACAGAAATGCACTGTGTGTGCAGAACGAAAGAATGTAGACTGTAAACCTCCTTTTACTGCTTGTTTTTACTGTGGCGGTAGCGTTTTGAACATTTATATGCTCAGAACTGTCCTTCTGCACATCATGTACATGAGAAGTGTGTCAAATCCAGCCAAGCTGTTTCCAATTCAGCAGCAAAGAGCAACCGTTACATTCAGAAAGGCACAGTCACAAGTTTCCACATGCTTCACACAATTCGTTTCTCATGATCTTAAAAACCTTTTGATCTACAGACTTAAGTTTAAATGCTAAAGATTAGTCTTTTAGACCCAAAGCATGAAGGAAAATCAGTCAACAAGTGTCCAGCATGCTTGTGAACACCTTTAATTCTTTTTAAAAACAAGTTATTTGAGAGAAACATAGAGTGTGTCAACTTAAAAAAAAGAAGCTAAAATAGGGCTGCATAATTTAAGGGGAAAATCTAATTTGTGTGATTGTTCTGATAAAGTCAATTTTGCTTTCATTTTCTATATTTATTATTATTATTGTATTTTATTTTTTATGCATTATTTTAAAAGTTTCAGGTTTGCTGTGCTTGATTGTAAGGCTGCATATTTTGGCCAAACATTTTGTGATTTGTATATTAATATGATAATAATAATAATAAAAGTATTATTATTAATATTTCTAATTACTTTGTTTAAATGTTTTGTTTAATAATAATTATTATTACTATTACTAAATTGAAATATTAATCAATAAGAAATATTGTTATTTTAATACAAAAAAATCAAGTTCTTAAAAATATCAATTTTATTTTACAGTACAACTGTAAAATTACAATACTAGTATTTACCAAAGCTATAATATAATTTTGTATTTTTGTCACTAATTATATGTCTCATATAAATATATATTTATTTAATTAAATTCAGCAATTTGATGGTCGCTCTATAACCATATCGTGATTTAGGTTTTATTTTGATTATTGTGAAATCCTAAGCAATAGTACAATTTATTAGTATTTATATCACTAAATAATCCTCATCTTTCATTTGTATAATTTGATTGTTTTGATGGCTTTACTGCGTACGAAATGTGAATGCAACATGCGAACGGCAGTCTACCGGTCCAGGGATGTTAAAGGGGTCATATGATGTTGCTAAAAAGAACATTATTTTGTGTATTTGGTGTAATGAAATGTGTTTATGCGGTTTAAGGTTCAAAAAACATTTCACAATGAAACACAACGTCACACACGGCGGGCTAGAGTGAGCGGCTGCGGGCGGGCTTGCGGCAACCATATGTCACGACCCCGGGCTGGACTCCGCTTCGTCCACGGTGATTAAAGCATGTCAACATATTCTGTTACACCAAATACACAAAATAATGATCTTTAAAAAAGCATCATATGACCCCTTTAACTTTTATAAAGAATATCTCTTTGGATTTGAGACTTTAGTCTTTGCAACTTTACAGATCTTCTTTATGCACCAAGAGCTTGTAACACTTCAAAGAGAAAGGAAAAATTGAAATCACATCTTATGGCCCCTTTAATGCCAGATGTACCTGTAGATGCGCTCACTATCTCACCTAGTCCGTTCTCTCCTGTTCCTGCAGTTGCTGGACTCATCGATTCTTTGATATACCACTCAGCAAGAGCCATACAGAAGAAGATCGAGCTGGGTAAAGCATCCTAGCACCACAGGGACACTGGGTGCATGACTGTGTCTGGAAACTTCTGTGTTTTAAAGGGAAGATGCCACAATGAAAGCCCCCAGACTGTTTCTTGCTGTGGCCACAGAGCAGTATCCTTCGACACGGCCCCTCGCAAGCAAGCACAGGAGAACCACACAAGGACCTGTGACTAAGACACTGGCCGACTGTATTTTGGAGGATCATATGAACGTTCGTATTAGCTGTACGCCGATGCAACAGTTGTTTACTTTTGCAAAACAAAGCTTTTTTTCTGAGATTTAGGCCTTTATTTGTTCTTCATGAATCACTCATTGGTTTATTTGAAAATTGTAGTCTTACCTGATCACAAAACCAGTGTTTTCCTGCCTGTCATACACTGTCAGAGTTTGGCAGACTAAACCAGCAGTCGTTTGAACGAGTTTGGGTCCCTACAGAAGAATCAGAAGCAGCAGCCTTTGTCAAACTGGAAAAGGCACAAGCGATCTCAACAGGAATCCTGTTCTGTTGTCAAGCACACAAACTACATGCGGAAACACAGAGACTGCAGTCTGTACAGATGTCTGTTTTTTTTTTTTTGTAATTGCACCTTTAACTCTAAATTCAGGGGCAGGGGTGTGTGTGTGTTTGCGAGTGTGTGTGTGTGTGTGTGTGTGTGTTTGCAGATGGGTGTTTTGTATGAGAGAGTTTTTCGTCATGTGTTGTTGCCAGTTTGTTTTGTGTGTGGGAAAAGTGTATTTATATTTTGATTGTTCAAAGCAGTTTTTAAAATGAGAAATAAATGTAACACTGAACTTCAGTGAGCGTTTTCTTGTAACTCTTAAATTGGAACCTAAATTCGGTACTCAAAAACAGGTAATACACAACAGCGATGCTTTTAGTCAAGATTATGAGAATTATTGCTTGATTTTCTACATTTGATCTTAAGTGCTTAGTTTTTATTGAAAAATGTCAAATAATGCTCTTTATTTCCGAGATGATCATTTTGTAAGTGTATGCTTAATTATAGTGTATTAAATCACCAAAATATGCAGTACTGTATCCCACAATGCAATGCTCTAGGCTTGATTTCTAACGAACTGAAATCAATATGAACCACGATTTTGATAATCTCCCTTTATCATTCTGAATTGCCAAGACATTGCGACAAAGTTGGACTTCAAATGCAAAATAACTTTTTTTTTTTCTTGATTTATTATTAAATTACACAAGCAACGTAACTGGGTCATGTGACAAGAAGTAACATACTATAGTTTGAATTTTTCTGTTTCATAATGTGTTTTAAACAAAATGTGCATTATATAGTGTGTTCAGCACGTTATTAGTTAGTAATGCGCTAATATGATTGAGAACACCGTCAGAGTCTTGCCATTTCCTGAGGATGAACTTGTTCTTAGTTAAAGGTCATTCTCTGTAAGCAGGCATTCTTTTGCTGTGTATTAATTATTTCATGTGGCTGATCCATGACAATTTTTCCTAAATTTTCTCCGACGAACAAAGACCTGACTGAAGAAAAAAACCTTTTCCGGCATCTGAGAGCTGGTCATTTTGGCCACCAGGTGGCGCCCTTGTATTCTTAAAAATGCACAGAACCTCAAAACGACTATTAATTTTTAACTACTTCTTCCTCTTTTTTTTTTTTTGTAAGATCAAATGGGGAACACGTTTATAGCGAGCTGAACACACTGCCATGAGTAATTTCCGGGAAGTGTGTCACAACCGCTTTTGTGCTGAAACATAACTAGTCAAGAAACCGATTTTAGCTCGTTTAATTGGTGAAGCGGTGTTATGCGACGTCCAGACTAAATCCTTAGAGACTTTTCTCTAATTCATTCCATATGAAAATGTTTCCAGACGTTAGTTTCCTGACTCAGTGACTGAACTTGAGTCATACTAGTCTGCTCACTGCATAACACTTTAGTATAACTGTGTAAAACAGTATGCGTTATGTGAATGATAACATTTTCTAACAGTAATATGCTATATTGTCACGTGACCATATGAGTTTGCATGCTTAATTTAGCAAGTGGCATCAAGTTGTCTGTAAAAATAATTCTAGAAAGTTGTTTCACCTTTCTTATTGAATCAAGATGTTGAAAATCACATCTAATGTGTGAGCCTGGAGCACAAAACCAGTCTTAAGTCGCTGGGGTATATTTGTAGCAATAGCCAGAAAAAACATTGTATGGGTCAAAATTATTGATTTTTCTTTTATGCCAAAAATCATTAGGATATTAAGTAAAGATCATGTTCCATGGAAGATGTTTTGTAAATTTCCTATCGTAAATATATCAAAACTTAATTTTTGATTTGTAATCTGCATTGCTAAGAATGAATTTGGACAACTTTAAAGGCGATTTTCTCAGTATTTCGATTTTTTTGCACCCTCAGATTCCAGATTTTCAAATAGTTGTATCTCGGCCAAATATTGTCCTATCCTAACAAACCATAAATCAATGAAAAGTTTTTTATTCAGATTTCAGATTATGTATAAATCTCAATTTAAAAAAATTGACCCTTATGACTGGTTTTGTGGTCCGTTGTCACATATATGACACCCAGCTCATTGTCATGCAGTAAACTGAAAGTCAATTTGAGGGCATTGCATTGTGGGATACAGTACTTAGTGTGCTGATTTTAGCATCTCTTACTAAAATGATTATTTAACAGGACAGCAAAGAGGGTTGTATAGTGACACGTTTTTTACCGAGATGATCGTTTTCAGTGAATTAATATGCAATACAACCAGAGCATGTTGTGTATACTGTATTGCAATTCTCTGGACTCTGTTCCATGCATACAGAAAGCTATGAAAAGTTTACATGGGCCTACTATAAATTGCAAAAATATTAAGAGTAGTATGTTAGTTTGCAACAGTTAGTTCCGGTGCACAAATTTGATTGTTCAGAACAACAGAACTCTTGCTTATGTGTGATATTGCTTAGTTGCATTTGATGCCAGACTATGTGTGGGAGCGTTTTTCCGCATATTAAGAAATACGGAAGATCTGAAAATTTTGTGCAACATGGGAAAGGCTTGAAAGTTTGCAAACTCTGCAAAACCGAGCCGAACTCTAATATTAGATGTTCTGTGCAACACTATATGATTCACTGTTTGATGAGTCTGATATTTGAGGTTCGGACCATTGTGAAACATGGAGGGCAGGAAAGAAAGAAAGGAAAAAGAGGAACAGATGATACAAAGAACAAAAGGAACCCGTTGAGGATTTGGATTTTGGAGGATTAGGGTTTCAAATGTCTATTGTTATTAAAATGGTTTGACCCTTTTATTCAGAAGAAGAAGATGTGATATTGATTTCTAATATACTCGTTTTTACACATCAGACTTGGACTCTTAATAGTACGCTTAGAAATAAACCTTTAAGGTTTTTAAAGAATATGCCCTGGTTTTATTTTACACCAAATATATTATTTATATATATTTTTTTTAATTTATATTTTGTATTTAGAAAAAAATTCCGCATTTTTATTTTATTTTATTTTATTATGTATTGTGGAAAGCACAAGGTTTCCATCATGGCTATATTAAGAATATTAAGCTTTTTAAAAGTTGTATTATTATTTATTTATTTTTATTTTATTTTATTTTTGCATTGTGAAATGCACAAGTTTTCCTACATGGCTATATTAAAAAATATTTGCTAGTTGAAAAATGTATGAGCATGTTGAGCAAAAGCATTTGGAAAAGCTACATGGGTCCTAATCCCTATGAATAATGAATTAATCAGGCAGACAGAGATAGCGTTAATTGCTGAGTGTGCACTAAACACTGGCCACATGTCAATCCATGAAACAACCTCAGCATAGCATCCCCATCAATGATGATGGAGCAGAAGAAAAAATCAAACTGCATACAGAGCGTTGCATGACTTCTCGCTGTATTCTGCAGCTAATCTCTCCCATATTATTCAGCCAAGCTTTGACATGCAGATCATTAGAGACGGAGACAAAGAGAGAAACTTCACAGCTTATGCAGCCGTGGCTTATGCTAATGCCTGATGCTCAATGCATAGCTTATTGATCGCTCGTGTACCTCCCGGGGTGTTGAAGAAACTAAGGAGACATCTAGTCTTTGCATAGAGGACTAGAAGAGACAGCAGGCCAGTAATTAGTTATGCGCATAGGACAGAAGTTACTGAGCAGTTACTCCTGACGAGTCTTAGCGTGCCTCGGCTGCTGGGACATCTGTTAGTACAGCTCCATCATTCACTGTCAAACACACGCCCTGCATTTCTTTCAAATGCCCATCCATCTTTTTTTTAGCAATATTGATTACAACCCAATTGACTGTTGAGTTGATAGGTGGGGATCATGAAGTTATGAAATGACAAAACAAATAAGAACAGAATAGAGGCTTTATGATCCCCTAACTGTAAGGTCTAAAAGTTACTGATGAGGATGCATCTGTTGTATATGGAAGGCCGTTTCCGCTATAGAATAAAAAAATTAAAAAGGTAATTGCGACTTTTTTTTTTTTTTTTT